GGAATGTAAGACTGAATTTAATGTGTAAAGGAAGAGTGAGAGGGCCAGTGTAATGAATTAAGAGAGAAAAATCGATGAATTAACAGGTTTCAGATCATAGAAAGTGTTATAAAGAATTTGGAAGTTGGTAAACAAGTTTAATGGCAAAGATTTTAATATGCAGTTTCATTCTTAATATCTCTTTTCTGTACAGAAAGTGTGCTTCATGGGGAAGAAACAGGCTGCTACTGTACTACAGTAATCTGGGCAAGAAGGGGTAACTTGGACTAGGGATAGAGGTGTTGAGAACTGGTCAAACTTGAGATATTTTGAGGATCAAGCATAATTTCTATAGTTTGAGACCTGAATTACTTTGTAAATGTGTTTAATTTATAAGGGAAATTTAGATTGAGAAGAAGTGCAGAATATACTTGAAAGATTGCTGTTTCACGGGTAAAGATTCTGTAGAACGGTTAAACCTTTTTATTATTTAATTAAACAACCATCTCCTGTAGGAACCCTCTTCTGATCTGACCCACTCTATCCGTGAATCTGAGTTAGCAGTCCCTTCTATATGTACTCAAACACACTAAACAAACTAAAACACCTGAGTAATAGCACTTATATATTTATTTTTAAATAGGCCTTTGTATCTCTGCAGAACAAGAGAAGGGAAAGTAATCTTGGTGGGAAAATGATAATGAATGGTAAAGGTATAGGGACAGTATTGAAGAGGAGAATTAGGCAAAGGAGAAAGATTATAAATCAAATCTGTAGTATGTAAATAGCAGAATGTTAAGATTAAAGAAAAAAAAATTTTGGTTCTGAGAGAATTTTAACTGTGATTGGACTTAATTGTATGGAATAATTGTTTTCAACCATGGCCGCACTTAGAAATACTTGAGTTTTTTAAAATCTTACTGCCCATGAATTATCCAGACTCAAACCAAATCATAATATTGTAGAGATGGGACCTAGACTTGGAAATTCCTGGGTAATGGGAAAATTAGCAAGTGCTATAAAAAGTGGAAAGTGATATTGATTGTAAAAGGGCATTGAAATACAAGTCAAAAAACTGAGCATTCTTTTTATACCTTATTGCTTGGGCAAGTAACTTAATGCCTGGTTTGAGTTCATCATCTGTAATTTGGTTGTTTGTACTCTGAAGTCTATTTTATTACTAAATCCGTTGAATTTAATGAAAGAAATTACAAAACTGAAATACTTTCATGAAGAAGATTAATCAGCTAAGTGCAGGAGAAGTTGGAGTTAAGAAGACATTGAGAGAAAGCACTATTTTGTGGTTGGTGGCCTTTTTTTAATGTGAGTGTAACACTGAGTTTCTGTAGGAAGCTTGATACTTTGAGAATGGAAAAGGGGACACTTTACACTTTCTTTTTTCAGGGATTCCGTCCCCCTCCCCCCCAAAAGATTCAGGAGCGTTCATTTAAGTAAGAATCTTCAGGGATTTGGTGGCTATGATTGAATTGTTTTTATTGTAACTTCTATTATTAATATTGTTTATCTCTAGCAAAAGATTGAATTCAGGATGGCACGTCTTGCCATAAGTATAAAAAGATACACTATTAATCAGTTGTTACAACAGAAATAATTCATTAGGTCATATTCTTTAGGGTTTCTGAAAAATGACCAATAAGAAATTCAATTAATTCTTTGCTTAGCACCTGGCCAAATAAGAGGTAGGAATATACTTGGATATGTTCCCATAGTCCTTTAAGAGAAAAAGATCAATGTAGTATTATAACCATTCAAATGATTTTTTGTTTTTTCTTTTATTCCTTATCATAAATTAAAAATGGAGAGGATAAATACCTTCCCTGTAGGTTGTTAAAAAGAAGGACAAGAGGACTGAGGATATGGCTCAGTGGTTAAGTACCCCTGGGTTCAATCCCTGGTACCAAAAAAAAAGAAGAAGGAGGAAAAGAAATGAAGTAGTAGTATGTAGTATGTTTGGTTATGAAGTGCTTCATAAATTTTTATTTTACTGTCCTCCCTCTTACTCATGTATGATCATGGGTGTGTGTGTGTGTGTGTGTTTCCTATTGTAGTTGTGGGGTTTTTTTGTTGTTTTGTTTTGTTTGGCGGTATCAATGTTTCTTTCTTTATTTATTTATTTTTTTTAGTTTTCGGCAGACACAACATCTTTGTATCTGGTGAGGGTCGCACACATGCCAGGCGAGCGCCCTACCGCTTGAGCCACATCCCCAGCCCTGTTGTAGTTGTTTTAACCTACAGTCCAATCTCTTGAATTCTTTTTTTTCTTTTGTTAGCCTGTATTCTTGGGCTAATATTTTGGAAATGATTTTGTGTTAATTATTCTAGTAAAAGATGAAATTTTCCCCTACTTTCAGCCTAACCACTGCTGATAGTTTGACTCAGGTAACTCAAATTTAATGTCTTAGTATATTTTATTGCCTAAATATAAATCATTGTATGTTCATTAGTCAGTGCTATTAATACTTTATTGTACAACACAATTTTAAGTTAAATTTAAAATAACCCCATTACTAAATATTCAGGAATTAATGATCCAGTTTGTAATGATCTTTGTATATCTAGTTCAATAAAACTAAACTAAGACCTTTGAATTTATCTATTAACTTTTTGTGAAGAACATGAATTTTGAGGTCTGAAATGAAACAATAATATTTATTTTCTTTATTTCATAGTCTTCCTTCCCTCTTAGCACTGTGAATTAATTCAAGCATGCCAATTCTTAATTAAATTGTGTATTTTACTTTTTCAGAAGTATCTTTGCTAATATTGATAATCTCTAAAATATTTCTGAATATGTGTAAACAGAGTTAAAGAGGATGAATCTCCATGATTCATTTGTAGGGTTTCTTGTATGTTTTAAAGGGTCCAAACATTTACTAGCTTTTTGCAAAGTGTTTTAATGATGAGTGGGTGGAAAAGAGTGAAAAGGGAAAGGAAAACTTGAAAAAATGGGCAGGTATTAAGATGAGAAAGCAAATGAAAGGAAGATATCAAGAGATGGAAATTTGGAACAAGTTTTGAGGTAGAAGAAGTAGATCAGTGTTAAATTAGAGTTGTCTTCAGCACTCAATAGTGTTGCCATTTAAAGAATACTGGGTGTTAAGAGATCTAATTTCTTGTCCTGGTTCTTTGTGTCACCTTGGAGAGGTCAGTTAACTTATCTGAGCCTCAGATTCCTAATCTGTAATATGTCAACATTGTACTAGGGTGGTTTCTGCATGTAAAATGGTGTATTTTTTTAGAGAACATTAACTATGGGAAACATCCTCCTATAGGAAATTTGCAGCTATGGCTGACTACAGGACAGCCTGTTTGGGGAATAGGATTTAAGGTCCCTTAGGTAGGAGCCTTTTCTTTCTATTTCACTGCTATATCACTTGAAGCTAATGCAGTAGTCACTCAGAAATGTTTGTTTGAATGAGTGATGGGAAAATGTGATTTTGGTTATCTGTTATGGGAGCACCTAGGGGGCCGGGAGGAAAATTGATATGCTTGAGGAGAGAGGGAAATGACCAATTTCTTTTGAAGAGATCTTAAGTTAGCTGATTTTTTAATCTCTTGTACTTCCTTATTTTGTCCCATATTCAGAGAAAGTGGCTATAGCTAATGGGATCCTCATGTTCACAAAATTTAAGAGTAAACAAAATAAATGCAGTGACCAAGTCAGTTCCCTTTATGTGTCTGGGAAAGTGACACATTGTCAAGCCAATAAATTTTATAAAGATGTTTGAAAGAAAATATTCATGGTATATAGAGAACTGTATTTATTTGGAGGTCATAGTTTTTAAAATCTTCAGGTCTTTGAAAGTTTTAGATCCAAATTAGACCAGTAAGGGGTGTGTGTGTGTGGGGGGGGGTGTCTAGCACCAACATCACCTACTTACTAATTGGCTCTTCCTCTGTCTTATTACTTTCACTTAACTTCCAACTTACACTACATTTAGTTGATCAATGTGCCATTCCTCAGCAGACTAGAAGCAGAAAACATTAAAAATATGGGTAAGGATGATGAAGGAAAGGAAACATTTTCAGGCAGAATGACAATACAAATGACAGTTGTACATCTTTACTTTGAGGAATAAAAGGGTAAAAAATAAACATATACATATAACATTAGCTATCCATGATAATTACTCTGTTTTTTTAAGAAAATAACTTACAATTTCATGTTATCTGACTACAAGTCAATAAATGTCAATACATTTTTAAAACAAATTTGTCCAAATTGGTTAATTTTTTTAAAAAATATATTTTATATCTCAATGGTAAAACCCTTACTAATCTTAAAAATAACACATATGGAACATAACCATCCCTACATCTGACCCAAGGAGGACTAGATGAACAAAATCATCATACTTTGAAATATTTTTAAATGTCTTAAATTTTTTGTTGCTGTGTCTTTATCAGGTTTTTTTTTTTTAAACAGTTGGCATTTTATGTTGGGTTTGTAACAGTTGTAATACTGAGAGAGAGAGATGTATAATAGTAAAGAAATTTCTCAAATACATTTTAAAAGTATCATATAAAAATTAAACCTACTTCTGCAAAGGGGGTGGTGGATGTCTTTCTGTGTACATCAGTTGTGAATTTAAACAGAAACACACAAGATTGCAAAATTTCTTAAAGGTATATTTGTACAAATTTTGCAAATTTGCCTTTAATAAATTTGAAAACTATTCATTCATAATATTGTAGCATTCTGTTGCTTCTAGGCTTTTTGTCTAAGATCAAGCATAGTATAATATTGTAACATAATCATTGACAGACATAGTTTATTGTAAGATAGAAATATAAAAATGATATTCATTCAAAATGAGATTTCAGACTAGAATTTTTTTGTTAAAATCACAGTCCATTTGGAGTAAATTGAATATATCCATTTAAAATTTGCATATTACATTAGGTCATTTTAAAATGTTTTAAATTGCCAGCTCCAGAAGATGGATAACAATTTCATTCCTGATGGCAATGAATTTCCTTCTTCTGAATTTTTTCATTAGGTGCACTAGGCCTTCCAATGAGGGGAATGAGCAACAATACCCCTCAGTTAAATCGCAGCTTATCACAAGGCACTCAGTTACCGAGCCACGTCACGCCAACAACAGGGGTACCAACAATGTCACTTCACACGCCTCCATCTCCAAGCAGGTATTTATTGGTGGACCAGAATATTTCTCAAAAAAAAAAAATGTATCTTTGTAGAGTAAGCAATCTTTTAATTTTTTAACAAGGTGATGATTGAATTTCTGGTTCAGTGCCTTTCACCAAGAAAACAAAAATACCTAGGCGCATTTTATTTCATTGCCGATTGATTAGTGCAAGATGTTTTTATTTTATAGCTAGCATACTAGTTGTCCAGTGGGTGAATATCAAGGGTTAATCTCCTCCTGGGGAGCTTTTTCAAAGCCATATCTCTCTTCCTCAAAGATGTACAATTTAAAATGACTCCCCCAATAATTCTGATCCTTGCTCTCTCACCACACATTCATTACTTTAGTGTGAGTAAAAGAAAAGGAGGATGTAGATTATGCAGATTATGCATATTAGTATGAAGAGGATAGAATGACAGGAATTTGGAGTGAAATTATTCTAAATATATGTGAAATACATTTAATTTTTATCCTAGTCACACCAATAGTTCTCTCATTTTAGATGTCACCTATTTAGTTCCACTATAATTTGCCCGTTTTTAAATTGGTTTGTTTACTTTAATTTTTCTTTTTAAAAAACTAGAATGACTAAAAGAATTTAATAAAATTTAGGAATACAGTTTGAAAGTATATTTGAGATTCTAGGATTATACCAATTGATTATTTATAGATAATTTTAATGAGTGATTGTAGAGAGCTTATTTAGTATAATGGACTTCTTTTTCAGGGGTATTTTGCCTATGAATCCTAGGAATATGATGAACCACTCCCAGGTTGGTCAGGGCATTGGAATTCCTAGCAGGACAAATAGCATGAGCAGTTCAGGGTTAGGTAGCCCCAACAGAAGCTCGCCAAGCATAATATGTATGCCAAAGCAGCAGCCTTCTCGACAGCCTTTTACTGTGAACAGGTAAGATGTTTATTGATACTGTGTATAATTGTCTTTTGGGGTATCTTCAGATTTTTCTTTTCATATTCAATGCTTTGTTCTCGAGTCTTGGCTTCTGTCTCATAAGTGTGTTTCATCATATATTTATGAGCAAAGATTCTGTTACATATCACAATTGTAAAACTAAAGATACATTCTTTTGAATTAAGTTTGATTTTAGAAAGCTCATTAAATCTTTTTGTTGTTGTTGTTGCTGCTAGAAAAGGATTGTTCTTGGGTTGCCACCAGGCAAATTTTTATTGATATGTCCTACCTTTATTAATTGAGGTTGGTCACCTGTGTGGTAAGAGTTCCAGATTGGTGAATAGGACTAGAGACATGTTTGATTATTACTGCTTTGCTTTGGTTACACTTTGGTTAAATATATTCTCAGTGAAATCCGTTTTGTACTTTGGAGGCTTATTGACCAAAGACTTGTAAGGTTATGTGAAGAGTATTTAAAAATAGTATTGTGTTTAGGAATTTGAAACAAAAACATAAAGTTGTTGTGTTTTTTCACTCCTTTTTGCATTGTCCATTTGCATATACTGTGCAAATGAGAACTATTTTGTTAGTATTTTCAAGCTGTTTGGGTAATTTATATGAGTTATATCTAAAATATAAGACTTTCTTGAAAAACATCATTTAAGCATGATTGCACACACACTTTTTTTTAAAATGGGGGATTGTGGGAGTGCTGTAGGACCTTGAGCTAAGTATTATCATTATGCCTATTAATTTGCTGTCTTCTTTCTAGTACTTGTAGTATCTGGATTAAAATAGGTTATTAGAACATTTCCTGTTTGTTCTTCATCCCATAAGCTCCAGTTCTTTTATGTAGACTCATAAGTATTTCTTTTATAATTTTATTGCTCTTTAATTTGTTAAAAAATTATGTGTCAAGGATCATCAAAATTCTCATCTGATAGCTTCCTTACCATATAATATTTCTTAGGCTTTATCACATCTTTCTGCATTCTTGTAATATTGTTCATTGAATGTATGAATTTTTGCCTTTCCATATATTTTCATTTTGTTTTTTTAAAAAATACTGTTATAAGTTGTCAACGTAAAGTGAATCTCTAAGTCCCTGCTTATTTTTATTATTGATAAGTTGTATTTATTATAAAATGTTCTCATCTTTGAATACTTACTCCATGTTTGAGGGTACCTATATCATCAGCAATTCTAACATGTTAAACAAATATTTTCATTGATGTACCTGCTCTTCTTTAGAATGCTGTTTCTCTAGCTGCATATTTTATCAATAGTTGTTTGGCCATAGTTTTACAGATTTAGGAGGGAAAAAACTCAGCTTAAAACAAGTTAAGCCTGCTCAACATTGATATACTAACTGTCTTTTGTGAGATCATTATTTGATGTCAAAGATATAATTTCATTATAGAATCTGCATTAATAATTCTTGTTGACATTCTTAATTTGCCTTGCCCTGAGTTCAGCTTTGTTCTTTTTTTTCTTTCTTTCTTTCTTTCTTTTTTTTTTCTTTTTTTTTTTTTTTGCTTTTTCTTGTCATGCTTAGGCTTGTGCAAAACAAGTAGGTGGATAGAGGCATTTGTAATTATTTACAAAATACCAGTCGTACATTAATTTGGAATTGGTACTATGGAGAGATATTCTTTCCATTAAATAGATGAAAAGTAAACTATTAGATAAAAATGATGTGTTTTAGAACACTTAATTCAGTTTTTAAAAAGCATCATTTAATTCAGGTCAAGTAAACAATTGTTGAGTGCCTGTTATATCTTAATAAACACTAAAGGGCAGAGGATGCAAGGATGAATATGACATGGACTCTATCCATGAGTTTATATTTTGGTTGGGAGGATATGTTATGATAAGTATTAATAAGTTTCACCAGTAAAGGGAGTAAAGTAAAACAAGTTTTCAGGAAGAATAGTCTTAAACCTACCTGCATATTTTTGAGATTAGGAATACTTTTAGTGTCCAGTAAATTGGCTCACGAGGGACATAAGATGGTACCCTTTAGCCTCTGTTTTCTTGAAGTTTCATTCATAAATTGTTTGTTTTTTTAATTAATCTGTTTAAGATGTTTTAGTTCTCTCTTGTTCATGAAAAGACTTTTAGAGAAGTTTTTAAATAAAAATAAAGATTAAACTCAAAAAAATAAAATCAGTATTGATTTTGAAGCATATTGTTGTTTGTATGAGGAGACCAAAAGTATACACTTTTGTTTTTCTTCATCTCAAAGTTAGTATTCTTACTGTATATCTAAAATTATTTTCTATGTACCCAGTATGTCTGGATTTGGAATGAACAGGAATCAGGCATTTGGAATGAATAACTCCTTATCAAGTAACATTTTTAATGGAACAGGTAAGCTTATTCTGGAGCTAGTACCCTATAAAAAATACAGTAGATTTCTGAAATATAAAGCAATTCAACATACTGGTCTTTAAATATTGTAGAATTTCTTAATGTGTTAAATGGTAGAATTTAATTTAGTGAGAAATTATTAGGAATAGGCTTTAATAAATGGTAGAGAGATATAGTTAAAGACTTTTTTTTTTTTAACTTGGCATGGTAATACCATAGTGATTTGTATTATAACATCAGGATTATTTCCTTGACACAGTGGAAGAGCCTAAACATTAATTTAGTCTATATTTATGCCTCAGAATTCTTTTTACTTCACAAAACTTTTTCTGTCCTCAGCCCTGTCACTAGGAAAACAATAATCTAGACTAGTTTGGGTGGTAATGATATTCTGATTATAGAGATACAGATTGAAGAAAACCTTTCCGATTATATGGAGCACTTACCATTCTTTTCTTAATACTAATTTTGGTGTTTAACCCTTTTGAATTTTTCACCCAGTTGTATGTACATAATTCAAAAATTTAGTTGCATGGAGAACCAATTCTGATTTTGACAAAAAGTTCCTGCAGTCTGTTGGTTTATTTCTTTTATCAACTGCTTCAGCCAGAAGCAAATAGGGAGCAGTGTTGCTATTTTGCTTTAGGTTTTACTCTCTTCACCCTTGCCTCCAGACCCTTTCCTGAGAAAGGAAATAAAGGATGTTGTTATGATTATAGGAGCAAAATTGGGCTGGATTTCTGGGAGAGAAATACTTGTAAAGGAGGAAGTAGGTGAAAGAAAAGGAGGAAGTAGGTGAAAGAACAATTAGTGAAATGGTGTATATATTGGAAGCGTGAGAGAAAATTTAATAAGGAAATGTCATTGGTGGCTATGGGCTTTTTATTTTTAAATGTTAATGTATGCTCAGCAGCATAGGTTGACCATAATTAAATCATTTGAAAAAAAATTCCAAATTCAGCATTTGTATGTGGTGGTTTTGTGTTCAAGGTGTTAAAATACTACAAAGTACTATATCTCATTGTTTCTAAAATGTACATATTTTTATATTATAATTATCTGTGAAATCAGGCTGCATGCCACAGTTCAGTCAGGTTTTTCCACAAATGGAACATAAAGTAACAGTGTTTCTGACAGTGTTATTTTAGATTCTGAATTATGGTTCTGTACACTGCTATAAAATTTTAGAATTCTTTTTAAAATTCTCTTTTAACTGAGTGTTTTTAATGTGGGAAAATTATTTTCCAAGTTTTTCCCTAAAAATACAAATTTGGGAGTTTATTAACTTTTTAGGTTAAAATATATTCTCAAATAATGACAATTTTGAATTGCATCTTGTAAGTCCTAAAGTCATATTAAAAGTTAACATATATCCAAAGTTTGTAATTATTGTGTAATCAGATAATTTAAGATATTATTTTATAAGTGGAAACAATATGTAATTTTAAAACTTCTCTTGTCTTGTTCACATAATAGTATATTTAATTGAAAATTTATAAACTAATTTTTAAACGATGGGGGTATGAATCATTTATCTTTACCCTTGTAGTTTTAAATTATCATCTGTATTAATGGAGTGGTTTTTTTTCTTTAAACAAAATAATCAAAGGTAATAGTTGAGATTCCTTTAATTACAAAATTCAGAGAAAAATGAGAATGAATTTGATAATAGCAAAAATTTGAAAATAGTTATAAAGCAAAAAAAATGAAATAAAAATTAAAACGGTAGCATAGGGTGAATCGGAAGTGTAGAAAATTAGGTTCTTCAAAAATTAAAATAAACATTGTAAGAATACTAAAAGTTGAAAAAAATCAAGAGATGATTACTGTAGGCAAAGGAGAAAAGTTGGGTTAAATTTTAATTTTAAAGGAAGCAGACTGGCTTAAATGAGTAAAAATAAGTTTCATATATTTAGTATATATTTATTGAGCGCCTACTGTGTAATAGGTAATACAAACTTCTGAGGTTGATCTATTTCCCAGTCACTCCCCAGACATGGGAATCCTACTTATACCTCTGTCCCCAGAATAAACAGACACACACACACACACACACACACACACACACACACACACACACACACACGCATATTTGTATATGAAACCAGTAGGTTATAGGGAAGAAGTCCTCAGGTGTTCTTCACTGTCCCCCAGTCTCTTTCTAGCCATTTGGAGGTAATTTTATTGTCACATATGTGTGTAACTGAAGCTCCCAAGCATTCCAGATAAAACCTCCACCAAATATAATGAAGATATCATTTATAACAATCTCCCTCTTGTTAGCTAATAAGCTATAAATTTAGGTTGCCATCTTCGGGGGGGGGTGTATAATATACAGTCTCACTCCATATTCTCTTAGGTTTCCAGGATTTGGGGTTTTAATACACTGGTTGCATATTGTTTTCCTCAATTGTTCATGAAATTCTTTAACATGAAATCATTCCACAAGTATCTTTTGAGCACCTCCATATAACCTAATACAGTGCTCTGCATTATTTAGGAACAGGGCACTGTTGTCTCAATTTATATTGTGATTGGGTTTTACAATCTTGGTTTAAATGTTTGTGGAACCAATAAATATTATTCTTTCTTATTATTTAGATGGAAGTGAAAATGTGACAGGATTGGACCTTTCAGATTTTCCAGCATTAGCAGACCGAAACAGAAGGGAAGGAAGTGGTAACCCAACTCCATTAATAAACCCCTTGGCTGGAAGAGCTCCATATGGTAATTAAGCTTTTTTATGATGGCCAATGCAAACTTTCTTTTGCACGTATACATATGTACGTATGCATGTGTGTGTGTTTATGTATGTAAATATATATTTTTGTGTTTTCCAATCAGGTTAGTATAATTTCATCAGAATTCACACAGAAGGATTTCTGTGTCTTTCAGAATATGTAAACTATAAAGCTGTACAGAAACCCAAAAGGAAGTTCTTATTATTCAGAAGTTATTTTCTGCTGATATCTCTGCATTCACTTAAGTGGTTATGTGGTCTGCCTTTTAAAACTTGCCTTAATTGATCCCACATTTTTTCAAAAGCGTATATTCCTAGTTATTAAAAATGAATGTCTATACATTGAAGACCTTTCTTTAAGCCAAAGTTTCTCGACATTCACACTACGGACATTGGACTCAATAATGCTTTGTAGACAGGGGATTTGGATGTGCTATCCTGTCTGTATAGAATGTTTAGCAGCATTCCTGCCTTAAGCCCACAAGCTGCCAGCACAATCATTGTTGTTTCCAGACATTGGCAAATGTCCCCTGGGAGGAAAAATAACCCCTACTGAGAACCACTGTTCAAGGAATATATAATAGTTTATGTAGACTCTTGATCATCATTAATACCCTTCATTATCCTTTTTCACTGTGCTAATAGATAAAGGATTTGGCTAATAAAAGTTAAATAAAAATAAAGGGAGGGAATCATGCAACAACAGTATAGCAGTTTTGACGTGAAAATTCTGTGATAGCTGTATACCTGTATTCTTCCACATAGTTGGTTCCTTTTGGGAAGACTCCTAATAGAGACAAAGAGCAAAACAATGCATTTAGAAAAGGGATCAGTTCATCAGTTATTCTAAAGTAGAACTAATAATATTTTTCCCATTATCAACTAAGAACAATTTCTGTGTCTTTCAGAATATGTAAAAAAGGCAAAGTTTTATTGTTCATATTCTAAAGTTTCTAAATTAATCTTCCAAAAATAACAAAAATTGATCTGTCCAGGAAGTTGAGTACCTAGCTGCTTAGTTCTCAGTTGAGACTCTAATGTTTTTAACCTTTCCTCATAGGTCCATTTTTTCATCCCTTTAATCATTCCCGTTGCTCTTCTTGGACCATCTCTAGTTTCTCCATATCGTTCTTGAATTGTGGAGCCCCAAACTGCATATTGTTCTCCAATAAGGGCCCGACTAATGCCAAATATAGTGGGAGGATTATTTCCCAGATCTTGCATGTTTTACATCCATAACATGGAATCCAAGAAAATCTGAAATAATATGGAGTTGTTTTATAATTGATTGCAATTTGCTCACTCTGTAAGTTACTTTCAAGTAGAATACTTCCATGTTCTTTTAAAATTTATTTTGTTCATTTTTTATTTGAAAGTTAACTAGAATTTATAATATTTAGTCAAATATTTAAAGCATGTTTTTAAACCAAAAATTTTAATAATCTTTACCAATATCATATCAAATCATATTTTTAAGAACCTATGTACGGCATTAGATTAGAATTACAGGATTACCACTAATTTCCCTTGTATTACTTTGTGTGTTGAATTGTTAATCAGTACACCAAAATTTAGTTCTTCATTGCTGTCCTGATTACTAGTTTTTTGAAGTATGCTTTCATAACATTAAAAAAATCTTGTGGTATATTATGATGAGGAAAGTTAACTTTTTATAGCATGTAGCAAAATATCATGAATATCAATTGCAATTCTCTGGGTTATTTTTATTAAAGTTGGAATGGTAACAAAACCAGCAAATGAGCAATCCCAGGACTTCTCAATACACAATGAAGATTTTCCAGCATTACCTGGTTCCAGCTATAAAGATCCAACCTCAAGTAATGATGACAGTAAATCTGTAAGTAACTGAGAATTGTATATGTGAGTGATATAATTTTCTTCCCTTCAGATTTATATTAACAGTTACTTACTAAATACTATTACGAAACTGTTTATCTTGCATATCTGTAATAACCTAACTTCTGAAGAATGCAGAAAAGCTTTATAACTTAGAAGATAGCCTATTTTTTTCCTATTTCATATAGGTATGCAAATTTCTGTTGAACTTCTCAGAGTTAATTTAGACTTTTATTGTAGTCCCTGTCAGCTGGATCCCATGAAGTTTGATAATATAGCCTTCTAAGGAGCTGTGTTTTTCTTGAGTAAGTTTTCTCCTTGAAGAATCTTTATACACATTTTTATACCTGTGTTGATTCAGCCAACTCAGCTTCTTTCTGACTTAACAAATGTATTTATTTGTTCCACATTTCACTGAAAATAGCCTTTTGTATGTGTGATGCGAGTTTGTATATTATTAAAGTCAATTATAAAAAAGATGATTAAGAATTCTAATAAGTTTGACTTTTTTAAAGTTCGTGTTTCTAGCTAGTCTTAGAGGTTGCTTTCGTGATATTTTAGGTAACGTACTATTTAGTTCTTCTAAGTGAAAATATCAAAGAGTGTAACTAATAGTGTATCTCAAAGCAGAAGCCCCTGAGAGGGGTTTTTCTCATTGATTTAAGATCCAACATTGTTAAGAATATTTTCCCTGGATTTCTTGTCCATTAAATCTTTAAATGTGGATGGTATGGGATTTGTTCATATACCATGGGACAATTATGGAAACAAAATTTTCATGTAGAACTTGAAAAGCAGGTAAAAATGTACTACCAATTTAAATATGGTAAAGAATGAATAGTAAGGCATTAATATACTGACTTGAATTTATATACTTAAAGCATTTTAATGTCACATTTAATTTTTTTCATGCTAGAATTTGAATACATCTGGCAAGCCAACTTCAAGTACAGATGGACCCAAATTCCCTGGAGATAAAAGTTCAACAACACAAAATAATAATCAGCAGAAAAAAGGGATCCAGGTGTTACCTGATGGTGGGACTCTATAAATATGTCAAAGATATTATAAAATGCATTTTCTTTACTTTTTCCACACAAATAAAAATGACTTTTCTTATCCAGGTCGGGTTACTAACATTCCTCAAGGAATGGTGACGGACCAATTTGGAATGATTGGCCTGTTAACATTTATCAGGGCAGCAGAGACAGACCCAGGAATGGTACATCTTGCTTTAGGAAGTGACTTAACAACATTAGGCCTCAATCTGAACTCTCCTGAGTAAGTTTGGTTTTTTCTTTTTTCACATTTGTGTATAATATTTCTACTATTTAATCTTAAACTTGTAGCTTTTTATCATATCACCAAATTATATCATTTGCTGACATTCATTATTATTGTTACCTGCTTACTTTTTGGGTTATTCGTGTCATATTAGTACCTGATTCATTGTCATCTGTATTATTATTCCTCTTATAATTGGGTCCACTGTTATAGATGTATATGTGATTCTTTAAAAAAATCCTGAAATCTTGGTTCCTTGAATGTCTTTTTTCCAAAAACTTTGTTTTCTCATACTTCAGCCACACCTTACGTTATCCTTTTGATCTGTCATTGCTAATAACTACAGTCTTTGCATCATTTTAAGTGATGCTGTTATGCTTTGGCCACTACTTCTGTTTTCTATCTGTCTCCCTCTAGTATTATAACTCTTATAATCATTTGGGACCTTTTATTTTTTAAAATGTATTTTTTGGTTGTTGATGGACCTTTATTTTGTTTATTTGTTTATATGCGATGTTGAAAATCAAACCCAGTGTGTCACACTTGCCAGGCAAGAACTCTACCACTAAGCGACAACCCCAGCCCACTCCTTTGGGACCTTTAATCCATTGATTCTTATACATTTTCACCGTTCCTTGGTATACCTGTCTGTCTTTCCCTTTTGTGAACTCATTTCCTTCTCATTAAATGCTGTGGTCAGTCATAATTGCTCATTTACATATACCCTTGACTTCTTTGCCCCTCTTTCACTTTGTAACACTTGCATGTAACTACAGCCTGGTGGTTTTTCTGCCTGTTCTATTCCTGAGTGTGCTGCTGAACTCAGAGTAAAGTTATACAACTTTACTGCCTTTCATTATGGCCAGGAACCTCAAAAGCAGATCCTTAATTTTGCCAAATCTACTTATACCTGGGATGCCTAGTCTATTCTTTTTTCTTTTCTAAACAACTATATTACATTTCTGCAAACCCCTAATACCTTCTCCCCCTGTCTTTACTCTCAGATGATGACCTTGCTTTTTTTGTGTACTTTTCCAAGAAGGAGGGTGGATCAATCAAAACAGAACATGGGGCCAGGCGCCGTGGCCCATGCCTGTAATCCGTGGCTCAGGAGGCGGAGGCAGGAGTTTTGCCGGTTCAAAGCCAGCCTCCCCAGCAAAAGCAAGGCACTAAGTAACTCAGTGAGATTCTATCTCTGAATAAAATACAAAATAGGACTGGGGATGTGGCTCAGTAGTTGAGTGCCCCTGAGTTCAATTCCTGGTACCAAAAAGAAAGAGAACATGGGCACTTTCTACTGCCATCTGCAACTACTTTATTCTTGTCTTTTACTGTTTTACTTTCTACTCTAATACTCTCTTGAAAATTCAAGGATATGACAGTTTTCACACTTAATTATTTCCATTAGCATTCAAATATACTACTACTTCTCCCATTTTAAAAAAGAAATCTTGTCTTGGTCGAGTCTCCTTCTTTGATGAGTTTATGTCCTATTTCTTTATTCTCTTCAAAGCAAAACTGTTCAGAATAATCGCCTGTTTCTCCAATTTGTCCATCAGAATTTTGTCCCCACCATTTCACTAAAACTGTACTTATGAAGGTCACCAAATAGCCTCCAACATTAGTAAATTCAGTGGTTTCTTCTAGAATTTCTTTCTCCTTGAATTGCAAGACACAATTCTTATCTGATTTCACTGGTTGATTCTTTTTATTTTTATTTTTTGCTGATACCTCCTTCTCTTTTGACCTTTTTGTGTTGTTCTTTTATCTATTTACTCCCTTAGAGACCAGTTTCATAGTTTTAAATACCATATATATTGAGGAACCCTCTCCAGCTTCTCTCCTGGACTTGAGATTTCCAGATTCAATTAAATATTATTGAGATGATCTTGCTCAAATTTAGTGCATCTGTAGCCTTCCTAATCTTGGTTTATACTTCCAGAAGCTTAATATCATCTTTAACTTCCCTTTTTTTTGTACCCTATATCTAGTCTTTTTCAAAAATATATACATAATTTGTGATCAGATTATGTATATATTTAAACTGCTACCAGTCTGATTTGAATCAACATCCATCCTCTATTGTCTGGCTGTTCTGTTAACCGATCATCAGGTATTCACAATTCTTTAGTTTCTAAATATTGTAGCAGCCAGGACAATCCTTTTTAAATAAGTTATTCCTTTACTCAGTACCCATTAAGGACTTATGGTTTCATTATAATTACCCCCCAACTTTTATAGCCCTACAACATCTTGCCTAGTCATTTCGTCTCCCCAAACCCTACCTCAAAAGCTTTTTCGTTTGTTTACTGTGTTCCATCTTCACTGGCATTCTTGCTATACCTAAGATTTCAATCATGTTCCTGCCTTAGTTGGTCTAAGAAGAGTCTAACTAAAACAGATTGTACCTGGTAGTTAATATGATTATCTCCTTCAGTCTTTGTCCAGATCTGACCTTCTCAATGGTACCTAAACTGACCACCCAATTTAATTATGCAATCATTTCTCTTCCCCTAACGTGGGTTATTTATATATTATCCTAAATTTTATGTAGTCAGTAATCTTTGTTTTGTTTACTAATATATCCCAAGCACCTAAAGCAGTGCCAGACATATAATAGGTACTCAGTAAATATTTGGTGAATTTGAAATTTGCTCTTACTATGTTGGGAGGGGCACATAAATGGGAAATTAATTTAACTTGAAGGCATAATATTGATGAATTTAAAGCATTCTTAGTTGAAGTCACTTAAAAATAGGAAATTTGAATCATACTTTTTTAAAATATTGTGATAACTTGTTTATATTATTACAGGAATACTGAGAGAAGCAATCCCACTGTATTTTTCATATGTATAGATATATGTTTCAGTTTTCTGCTGTGTAAGTCATAGTAAACCCAAGAAATTAGAAGTAAAGATGGTCATTTTATATTTGAGGTCTGTTTTTCCTAGTTTTTGTGAAATTAGATTAGAAATTTGTTTTTCTACTTTGGATTTCAAAGTGGTTTTTTTCCCCCCTTATTCAGAAATCTCTACCCCAAATTTGCATCACCCTGGGCATCTTCACCTTGTCGACCTCAAGACATAGGTAGGAGAAGCTGTTTATGTTGAGAACTTTTTGAAAGATATTTATAACTGAGAATCAGTTAATAAGGCTTTTTTCATTTTATTATCCAGACTTCCATGTTCCATCTGAGTACTTAACGAACATTCACATTAGGGATAAGGTGAGTGTAGTTTATTATTCTACTCAGTCAGCATGAATTTTATCTATTTTTCAGGTGCCGCTTTTCAGTTTAGACAGCATAATATTTTTAAAATAATTAACAGTGGTCTTGGGGATATGCTTTTGTATCTTCATTCAACTTATATGACAGTTTTATTTCTATTTTTGTTTATGATCTTAATATTTTGATAAAGTCCTAGATTGTAGTTTAAAAATGAAACAATACTAGGACTGGTAAAATATTTCTCACTGTTAATAAAAGAATGTAACCATAACCACATTCAGTGGGAATAAACTTATAGAAAATTTGATAAATTTTCTTCTGATATTCTTATTTTATGCCTTACCCAGTAGAAAGAGTTTTTCTTAAAAATAGTACATAGGTGCAGTTTTTTAATGGAACAACTGTACATCTTTTAAAATTATTTATGACCTTGGCTTTTTTTCTTTTACTTTGTTTAAATTACCTACAGTTCTAATTATAAAGTAATTATTAACAGATTATAGCTTTTATCTGTTTATTTCACTGTAAGAAAGAAAATGGTAGAGTTCATTTCCATTAGAAAAAAATTCAAATGAAAAAAATGAAATCTAAATTTTTGAAATTGTGAAAAGATGACTTAATGGAAGTGTGTGTGTGTGTGTGTGTGTGTGTGTGTGAGAGAGAGAGAGAGAGAGAGAGAGAGAGTCTGTATTTAAATGACAGCATTCTGATTATGTACCACACAGTTGTATGGTCAAATGGATATTGATGTTGTGGACAGGCAGATAAAGAGAGAAATATATCCCAAGATGTCTTTTAATTGTCTGCATACGTGGAAAACAAGAATTATGATAACAGGGAGTGCTGGTATTTTTCATTTGTGGATTTTGTGATATTCTGTCATCTCTACTATAGAACTCTTTTGCTCCAGTTTACATATTGGTTGCCGAACATTTCCTTAGACCAGTTTGAGAAATGCTGAAAATTGGTTGCATGTGGTAACCGCCACCTGAACAGGGGTGACATGAATGAGGAGAAAAATGACATTCAAGAATGTGTGACAGCCAAGTAAACACTTAGGTGTAAAACATCAGATAAACAGATACATTTTTTGTTATTGTTGTTTTGGAGTGCCTTTAAGGTTTATTTTAATTTGAAAATTTGAGACTGTTGAACTAAATTATAGTTTGGTGACTGGTTATTTTCTACCTTGTGAAGAGAAATATAGTCATTCTTCAGTCACTTAAATCATAATTCTGTATTCCCATCTGAAAACAGAACCAAGTGATTTGTGAATCACTGTCAGGTATAGATTCAATCTACACTTATTATAAGCCTTCTGTATACATGATTTTTTCATAAACCCTCACTCATTTAATTTCATTTACTTTTTAGTAACTTTCATAGGTGTCTTTTTCCATATTTTGCAACCGAAGCTCATAGATGTTAAATAACTTGAATGTGGTCATAGAATTAGGACTTAAATACGAGTTCTAGATCTTTGAGCACAATATTCTTGTGTTATTGCCACATTGGATATTAATAAATCCTTGTAGTGAGATAATATTTGGTTTCACTTGAAAATTTTTATTTAGCTTTTCCCATTGATATTATCAAATAGAAGTAACAGACATAATTGTTGTCATTTGAATTAACCAGTTACCTGCTATGAAATGATAAGTTTCTGTGTATCTTTCCTTTGTTCTTTTTCTTTTTTTTTTTTAACGTGAGTGGTAGCAATTATATGTTAAGATTTTAGATTTATTTAACATTTCACAATAATTTTTCTTTTCTAGCTGGCTGCAATAAAACTTGGTCGATATGGAGAAGACCTTCTCTTCTATCTCTATTACATGAATGGAGGAGACGTATTACAACTTTTAGCTGCAGTAGAGCTGTATGTTGAAAGTTTTTTAATCACTTTTTTATTATAGTGCATCTTGACTATTATGAAAACTTTTTAAAATGATAATGCCATATTGAGTAAAAATCTTTATCAATAAATTTATTTTTACATTTAATAAAATACCTTTAGATTGAAATTATATAATTACCGTGGCTTCATAATCGTATATATAAAAAGAATCTCACAATTAAATAATGCTAAATTTATAAGAAAACAATCAACTTGACTCAGATTTGGTGAATCATTTTTTTAAATGCATGAATTATAAGGTATGCCTGTGGTTCTTTTTAGTCCTTATGGAACCACATATATTAATTAGAAACCAAATTTCATCAACCAATAAATATTTGTTGATTATTATATAGGCAAGGCACTGTGCCTATTTGTTGTGTGTTTTGAAGTGCTATAAAATAAGGTCCATATTATCCTAGTATTATCATAAGGACGTATGATATAAAAACATTATTATAGTTTTTTTAATTATGTTTTTATAAATGGCCTTGAATCCAATACTTCCAAATATATTTAAAATGACTGTGTTAATAATGAATTGTATAAATTTTTATTTCAATTGAGAGAAATTTCCCATTTTCCCTCATTTTTATAAAATAGGAATTATCATTTGTTCCTTTTAATTTGTTCATAAGTAAATTGACTCATCCATCTATAATTAGCCATTGTTGTCTTTATGTCTAAAAACTACCTCATTGTGTTGGAAGGAAAGTGTTTATTTACATGAAGCCTTTAATGTCCCTTTTGGAGGACATTAACCAATTCTGAATATTCCACAATTTTTAAGTTGTATAAATCCTCACTAGTTTTTGCATGAACTCTAATAATTAGATTTTGAGAACTCTTAGATTTTGAGAATTTAGGATTGATAATATTTGAGTTAAAAAAATAAAGTAATACAGTCATTAAATTTTTCAAAATGGATATTGTTTTCAACATAGTTATAAAATTACATCAATTTAAAAGGTTTAATTCAAAAATACTTTGTATTTAGTTTCTTACCAAATAATATAAATAGTTGGGGTTTTGTTTTAATAAACATCTCAATTTCTGTTGAGTGTTCAGAAGAGCAAGTCAGGAATGAAGTTTCTAGAACATGTTGAATCTATATTTGGTCTGCCCAAGTTTTTATTACTCATTGGACTTTTGACATCTCATTTGTTTGCATAAAAAATTAACTTTCGTTAAATAAAGGTATGGGGTTTAGTAATAAATTTGCTTTCTGGATAAATTTAAAATTATTTTTCTATATTCCATTAGTGTTGTATTTAATAACAATAAAGACTCAGAAGCCTTGTAAGAAGAATCCATATTTGTGTATATTTTTGTGTGTAATTTTTTCTGAGAAAGGTTTTTCAAAATATAGGAAATGTTTGATGTGAGCCACAGGAAATAATTACCCTTTTCTTTTAAAATTTGAAGTTTTAATCGTGATTGGAGATATCACAAAGAAGAACGAGTATGGATTACCAGAGCACCAGGCATGGAACCAACAATGAAAACCAATACATATGAGAGGGGAACATATTACTTCTTTGACTGTCTTAACTGGAGGAAAGTAGCTAAGGTATATTTTTTTCCACGTGCAACTGTGTAAATCTAGACTTTAAAAAAGAAGTGTGCTTTTTATTCTGTTTATGTGTACCAATATGTCCATTCCAATAATGTGCCAGATCTACCCACATCATTTTTTTCTCTACCTGCTTGACTTGATTTTACCTCTAGGACAATGTAAAAAGAGTTAATTTCACTATAATAGGTAAACTTAGGAAGAGATTTGTAAATTTGCACAAGACTTTATGACATTTGAAATTTTTTTTTTTTGTCTAATGAATTGTAAAATAAAGATACCCTTTTACAGGACAAGTCATGTATTTTCATGTTATTGTTACTGTAAGCAAGGATGAGATTTCCTTAAAAGGAGTACATAAAAGGCTTTTTATACTTGCACTCATTATGGGAAAAATACATGAATGTTTATTTGCAAATCATTTAAAGGAAGAAAATTGCAAGGATTAACCATTACTTCTTCGGTGACAACTATGCTAAATATGAGGGGGAAATGGGCTGTGCGGAAAAGTTGATTGTTTTATTTTGGTTTTGCAACTTTTGCCTCACGAAAATGCCCTTATAACTGTCCCATGTGCAAAATTTCCATCAGTGTAAACATATATTTCACATGTGTCCACTACCTTGTGTGTACTTAAGTCTACTCAGTTAAGAATATAGCCTGTATTATCCAATTTCACCAGTTATTTTCCTGAATTGGTTTTCTATTATTGATTCTTAGGATTGTAAACTCGGTAGTTAAATTTACTTAAAACCAATAAAATTTAAACAATGCTCACAATCAGTTCTTTGGATAATGTTTTAGTTATTAGTTTTGAGTTGGTTTGTGGTTTTGAATCAGCTTTAGTAAACTGATAACTTACATTTTAAGAAAACAGTTTAAAATGCTATATAACAAAAAAGTTTGATATCTCACGATTTCATGTAGAACTTGGATCAAAAAAAGAAGTAACCCCAACACAAACACCAAAATAAAAAACAAATAGCAGGCTAAATCTTATTTTTATTCTTCTTTTCAGATTTCTTTACTTCTCAAAAGTTAATATCTTGGTTTCCAAAAGAATGTATGATTTAACATTTTGGATAGAAATAATTGTGCAAATTAAAAAATAATACATGGGACATTATGTATTTTACCTATTTAAGAAGTATGTTATCACAGAAAGCCATAGCCTACATGTCATGTATTTTGTTTGTTTTTGAGGGGGTGGGTACCAGGGATTGAACCCCAGGGTGCTTAACCACTGAGCCACATCACCAGCCCATATTATTTTTTACTTTTGAGACAGGGTCTCACTAGGTTGCTTATAGCCTCACTGAGTTGCTGAGGCTGATTTTTGAACCTGCAATCCTTCTGCCTTAATCTCCTGAGTCGCTGGGATTGTAGGCGTGCACTACCACGCCTGGCCATGTCATGTTATTTTAATTTAACTTTTATTCATGTTTTATCCTTGTGCAAGTTTCCTTTCTATGCCTATTTCTTCTTTTGTAAAATGTAGATGTTGCTTTCCTCTAGGCTGTCATGAAGATTAAATGCAATTTAACACACAGACATGCATACATATATATCATGAGTATAGTCATTGTATTTGATACATGGTAGTAGTTGTGGCAGTTTTGTTGCTATTATTTTTATCATCACTGTGATAGCTTACTACTTCATTCTTTCAAACATGGAAAAAATGTAACTGATTGTTTTTAAGTCATTGGTTCTCAAACTTTAGCTGACTTTCCAGAATACAGATTACTAAGCCATACCTGGACTGTTTCTGATCTAGTAAGTCTAGGTGGTCCGAGAATTTGCATTTCTGACAAACTCCCAAGTTATGTCAGATATGACACTGGTCCTGCTCCACACTTAATTCCAAATTAAGGGATACTAAGGGGGAGAGTGTGTTTTTGGAGGGGAAAATATTCTACTTGTAAATAATTGAAGCTTTTTGCTCAGTATCATTGTAAATTTCAAGCCTATATATGCAAAAAGGAATAAATGTTTGCAATATACAGCTGTGTAGTTGTAGTTAAATTTTAGTTAGACATGTATCAGGAAAATAACTTTTGTGAGAAATTTAGTTTTCCATAATTAAGTTTTCCCTGTAAAGCTAAATATTCAGAAATAACTTAAACATTAATATAGAGCCCTTTTAACTTTCCAACAAAAGTAATTCGTCATTCAGATAAATGATAAAGAAAATTATATCTATCTAAAATATATATTAAGTATATATAATAATACATACAGTATATATAGTTAAAACTTATTTTGATTTATTTTATCTGATATCCTTTTTAGTTGAGCTTTTGTCTTTACTTTTAAAAATTTTAGCTGTTAAGTGGGAAAGTAAGATTTGAGAAATATTATTCTTTAAGAAATCTCAAGTTAATAATTTGTTGGCCACTTGCATGATGATATCACCCTATATAATTTTGCTAGAATTACTCGTCTAACTAATATCAGATTGTGATAATTCAAATAGCGTATACATAATCTTAATGAACACATTTTAAAACAATTTCTTCCACACTCTCTTTCTAATTAAAGACTTGAAAATTTGAGAAATTCTTTTAGTCCAGTCATCTTTAGATCTAATAGGATTTGTTACACTAAGGATTTTTTTTTTTATCATTGCTTGATGTACATGTGGGTTTTTTAAATTAATTTTGCTGATACATATTAGTACATTTTATATTTTCATAATATATGCTTTTCTTCAAAATTATTACTCATAATTATATTTAAGATAGTTTGCTACTTCCTAAAATTTAAATTAACATGGATTCATTAGTAATAGGAAGCCAAAATTTTGTGAGAATTTGTGGAAACATTCATACAGTATAAGTTTCTATATAATTAGATCACTGGTAACATTGTCTTTGCAATGATTACTTATTTGGTTCCTTTGAATCCAGTGTGTAATTTCATTTCTGCCTGAATTAAATAACCTTTTGAGAGCATATAACTTTATTTTATTACTGGGAAAACCAAGTCATTAAAAAGTTACTTAAAAAGCAAATATTCTGTTCCTAAAGCAAAAGAATAAAAGTGGGGTTTTTTTTGTTTGTTTTGTCTATCAGATGTTAATTACACTCTTGCTAGGAGTTTAGGTAATAATGTACAGACACATATTTTGCTCCTAAGAAATGTTCAAAGATGTGCATGTATGTAGTTATATGTATACATTTTACAAACATGTAAGAGATCTTACCAATAATCAACTTAAGATTTGTGAACCAAAGCAATGTGTTTAAGCTTTATATATTTTTAAAAGGAGAAAATACATGGAAGACTAAATATGACCTGTATAATCTCCATTGAAGTTTTCTTTAATTATTAAAATATTTATGTTCCCTAAGTTTAAACTAATCTTTTTCTAGAATGTGGGAGTAAAAATGTATGTAGACTAATAAAACTAGCCTGGTTTAAATTCTAATAATAATTCATTGTAGTTCATCCGTGTGAATGAAATTTTAGTTTATGTAACTTAAAATTTATCATTTGTAAAAGTTACAAATAGGCTTTTTATGCTACATACATTTTGAAAACTAATATGCTAGTTTTAATTTCAAAAGAATGATTTTTAAAAAATGATTTTTTAAATTACTAATTTGGATAATCAACTTCAGTCAAACAATAAAAATCTTTTAGTTCCTAGGTAGGGGTAGGAAAGATCGAAAGGCAGCTACCATAGTTCATTAGGCAGATACTGTGGCTGTGGTAGTTTTGGTGTTTGTTAGTTTTTACTCTTAAGCAAATAACCTTCATACTATGAATCATCTGAAAAGAACCTTTTTAAAAAGCCAGAGTCACAACAGTGTTCTTACTTTATAAACTAATATCATGAAACAATTTTTTTCAAAATTACTTTTGGATTGGATATATTTGAAGTAAATCTGTTTTGGAACTTGGGATAAACGTAATTTTAAAAATGTGTTACACTAGAAAAGACAAAAGCTTTGGTGTCACATGGGTCTGGATCCTAATCCTAGGAGTTCCACTTATATGCCTTGGGTAAGTTACATGTGAACTTCGTTTCCTCAGGTGCAAAGTGAAAATAATATCTACTGTTGAGTTTAATATAAAAATTTGGGATAAAATTAGACATATCTCTAGTTTGGGCACATACTAGGTTTTTAATAATTATAGTTTTGGCACATACTAGGCTTTTAATAATTGTAAGTGGTTTGTCTATAGTTGTAATATACTTTAAATACGTGATTCTGTATCTGAAATTTTGATTACATGACTTCAGTTTTCATTTTAATAATGGAAACATTCATTATGAAATCAATTTGAAACTAGACACAGGTAAAATATGTTAACGCATGGTTGCAAATGTCACTAGTTTAATCTTTAAATACATAATTCATATTGAGAGAATCTTTATATGGAAATATGTAGTGAGAGTCTGTGCTAATTAAATTCAGGTTATAGTATTAGTAATTTTAGAGTGTCTGTTTTTTGCAGCTGCAGAGGTGTTTGTTGTTTTTCCCCCCAGTGTATATAGTTATATTTGCATTTCTGTTCTTTAAGCATGGAGGAAAGGAGTCTGAAAAAATTGCCATTCTTAAATTTTAAAACTCATGGAGTATTTTGAAAGTTTGCTTTAAATGACAGTCTAATTATCGGATATGCCTACAGCAAAAGTACTGTCTTGCTTTGGCAGTTAAATTATCTCTAAGTTCAGGGGTTTTGAGTTTGTGAAATGGGAAGTTCTGGAGTGGGAGTTTTAAGGTCACTATCCTCCGATTTTTATGAAGTTAGAAGAATTTTACTTGTTTAAGCATGATAAAGACATATAGGAAAAATCTTCATTTTGATCTTTTTCATGAGCAAAAAGTAAATTTTTAGGTTTTTGTACTTTTGAGAGTATGAAATGGTCTTTTTTAAAAATACACTTATAATCTTCAGTGCTTTGCATTAAATGTTTAGTGATTTTTCTCCCTTTAAGTAAAAAGTTATAACATTTTACTAAATGTTCATGAATAGTTTCAACTTAGATGCAGAAAGTCTACAATTTTGTACTTATAAAATAGAATCACATTTTTCTTTGTATTTCCATTCTTATGTAGTTATTTTAATTGGTTCATATGGTAAAATGTATTCTGATAAAAATTTGAGATCAAAAAGATGAAATCATCTATTTCATGAATTTTTTTTTTTTTTTGGTAGGAGTTCCATCTGGAATATGATAAATTAGAAGAACGGCCTCATCTGCCATCCACCTTCAACTACAACCCTGCTCAACAAGCCTTCTAAAAAGACTTCCCTTTTCTTGGGGTATGGCTGTCTCAGCACAATACTCAACATAACTGCAGAACTGATGTGGCTCAGGCACCCTGGTTGTAATTCCTTGAGGATCTGGCAATTGGCTTACGCAAAGGGTCACCATTTGAGGTCCTGCCTTACTAATTATGTGCTGCCCAACAACTAAATTTGTAATTTGTTTTTCTCTAGTTTGAGCAGGGTCTGAATTTTTTCATTTATTTTCATTTTTGCCAGCAGACAGACTTGGGTCTGTAAAGACAAGCAAGTACACTGACAGAAGTTTACCATTTAGTTTCTTATATGTAAAAAAGAAAACCCACAAAAGACTCAACAAAATTAGACCACAAAATTTGCTTTGTTCATTGTAGCACTATTGGTAATAAAATAACAAATGTTTGTGCATTTTTATGTGAAGATCCTTCTCGTATTTCATTTGGAAAGATGAGCAAGGTCTGCTTCCTTCATTTTACTTCCCCTTCTGTTTTTGAAAGGCAGTTTCGCCAAGCTTAACGCAAGAATATCTGACTGTTTAAAAGAATGATATTGCCACAATCTCTGGATGGTCTCCAGGGTTGTGTTATTACTGAGCTTCATCTTTCCAGAATGAGCAAAACACTGTCCAGTCTTTGTTACGATTTTGTAATAAATGTGTACATTTTTTTTAAATTTTTGGACATCACATGAATAAAGGTATGTATGTACGAATGTGTATATATTATATATATGACATCTATTTTGGAAAATGTTTGCCCTGCTGTACCTCATTTTTAGGAGGTGTGCATGGATGCAATATATGAAAATGGGACATTCTGGAACTGCTGGTCAGGGGACTTTGTCGCCCTGTGCACTAAAGGGCCAGATTTTCAGCAGCCAAGGACATCCATACCCAAGTGAATGTGATGGGACTTAAAGAAGTGAACTGAGACAATTCACTCTGGCTGTTTGAACAGCAGCGTTTCATAGGAAGAGAAAAAAAGATCAATCTTGTATTTTCTGACCACATAAAGGCTTCTTCTCTTTGTAATAAAGTAGAAAAGCTCTCCTCACTGCAGTGTTGACTTTGATTTTAAATTGTGAAATTATTTCTTCAACATGAAAATTAGAGGGAAAACAAGTTTTGCAAATATCAAACTGAATGGTATGACTGAATTTAAAGTGTCTTTTGCAGCTTTCAACAAATAATTTAATAGAACCATAGCAAACCATTTTACTTGTAGATTAAAAATGTAGACAAAAAGATTAACTGGAGAAAACTTTTAAAAATGGATTATGGCAGCATCCGGAACACTCTCGGGGCCTAATGGGAACACTTTTTCTCTGAGGAATTTGATAGAGTTTTGAGATCTATCTTTATGAAGTAATGAACAAATTAAGGTAAGACAAAAAGCAGGGTGGGGTAGATTTTACCTTCAGTTTGCTGGCCTGGATATTTCATTTTTATGGGTTGATGAATTCTTTTCTCATATAAAAAAAATACTGTATTTAAAAATGTCTAAAGACTGAAGCTACCAAAGCAGAACTAGAGTAGAAAAAAGCCAGTGAGTTTTAAATTTTTAAATTTTTCATTTTTAACCTATTTTTCTATAAGAGTGAGCGCTTATTGACATTTACCAAATCATGTTTGAAAATTAAACATTTATGACATTGATGTGTTTGTGTATCAGGAATGAAAAATGACTTAAAATTTACCTTTTTCTATGTATTTTGAGATATTAGAAACTGACAAAAATATCAGGACTTTTTACTTTTCAGAATTAAACCAAAGCATCTCCTCAGTAGGAAAGATGGCAGTTAGGTTATCATAACTATTGTGCAAAAATAAAATAAAATAAAACCCTACCCTAGTTGACATAAACCAGAATCAAATGCTACAAAGCAGTTTCCTTAAAGATTACATCTTTTCATAATAATTTGTTTTGTAAAATGTACCTTTTACAACATAACCATAAAAAATAAATAGGAAGAAAAACACAGTTAATAGGAAGGGATCTTTATTCTGATGAATGAAAACATACATTAAAGTCTCAGCTGAAACATGATCATGATTGGGACTAGATGACTCATAATGAAGACAGCTCATATCAAGTGATTTGTTGTGTTTTTCCTTTTTTAACTGCCGTAGACATTAAGTGTACACTTTCCAGTTTTCTGGGGTTTTTTAATATCCTGGATTATCAAAATTTTTATAACTTGTTGATATTAGAAGTTACCTATTGAGTTCAAATACTCATTTACAAATTATGCTTAAAATCTTTAAAATATTATATTAAACTAATACAACACTCAATTCTTTGTACATGTACAGGATTTGACTTAAACTTATTAAATCTATGGTTTTTCTTAGGTTTAATTCTGTTCATATTCCCCTGTATAGATAGTTGAATACATTTGTACACTGTTACATAAATTTTGAGATGAAACTATAATTGGCTTTCTGGAAACAAAAGCTCTATTTAGTTGTGAAAGGAAGTCCTTTAATCTATTTGGTATTTCTTGAAGTGGTACTATAATTTATATGGTTGAATTTCATTTGCTGGGGGTTTTCATTGCACAAATAGTTTTCCTCAGATAAAATGAGTTTTAATTAATAACAAAGTTTATTTAAGTTCTTACAGTATTTATAATAAAGCCAACCATTTAACTGGTCTTTTATTTTTTTGCCACTGAAATCGGGACCCAGCAGGTGCTTGATTAATATTTGTTCACTGAGTGGTTTAATTTGATATTTCAATTTGAAAATAAAATGTACAAATTAAAACATTGGGCTTTGAAATAATTTACTTTTACTATAATTTCATTTTCACAAGAATATTTTTAAGCATCAACTAATTTTCAAAAATTTTCAAATGTTCCTCTCTATACTAGAATCAATTCTTTCTCTGAATCCTCTTTCATTCACAAACCATATATCTTCCATTCTGTTTATATCCATTATCCATAATATATAAGGTATCTGAGCATGGCTCTGAATCACTTTATTTCATTTAACTTAGATTTGCATTAATAATAACATCAATTTTGCAAAACAGTTGCTGAAAACCTAAAAGTGTGTGTAGAAACAGATGTATTAAGTGTTTTTCTTAACCATGTTTTGTCTATGTAGTTTATAAAGAAGCAGCAGAAATACATACTAATTAGGTTCCATTAGCAGTCTCTGCAGGGTCAGGGTGTACTCAGTGGTAGAGCACTTGCCTACCATTCTTGAGTCCCTTGTGGTTCCATTCTTAGTGTTGGGGATTTAAAAAAAAAAAAAAAAAGTCTGTGGAGAATGAGATAAGCCAGATGTTTGTTGAAATGTCTTTACTTTCTAAAAGCTAGATCCCAATGACATGTCCCAACTTTTCTTGCCCACTGGCATTACCTGTGAATTAGATCATATCATGAATAGAGGACACATCTGGGATATGAAGTGCATAAATGCATCAACAGTCAAAATTGGGATCTAAAGCTAACCCAAAAGCATGGTATATTACGTTTAATCAAATAGGGTGCAGTGAATCAGAATAATGATATAGTTTTGCAATTTGGATGTGAAAATAAAAATGGAGGGTGTTAGCTATAACATGGCTTAACATTGTTTATATGTAGATTAATATCAATTGTGATTCTATTACTAAATGAGTGTAATCTTCAGCTATATTAAGAAAAGTGTACTGCTGAAAACAACATGGGGATCCTGCTGTCTTAAAAATACACATCTGAAATGTCAGGTCAAGTATGAATGCTGCGTTTTAAGAGCTGTCACATCAGCCAAAGGGGAAGGAGTTGTGGCGTGCTTTCTAGCTACCAAGCAATATACTGAATGTTTAATTATTGTGTCCTGTTCAAAGAATAGCTTGATAAGGTAGGTGGGTGTTAGTATCTCCATTTTACAAAATTTAAAGTGTTACCCACCAAAAAGAAATTAGGGATACTTGGCATTAGAGAATAAACTTTGGAGACCTAGTATTTGTCTTTTCAAGAACTGTCAATGAAAGATATTAATTTGTGTGATGAAAGAGTAGAAAAAGGACCAATAAGAGATTTCGATGCAAATATTTAAAAGTAACATGTAATTTTATGGGGGGTAGGGGAGGTTGAACCCAGGGGGTCTCACACATGCTTGGTAAGCACTCTACTACTGAGCTGTATCCACAGCCCCATAATAAGATTTTGAAATTAGTTGCTGTGCAAGGCACCCGACTCAACTTTTATAAAACATAACCAAAGAGAGACTGGCTGAATAGTGTTCCTACCTAAGGTAAGAAGTTGAACTGAATGGTTTTGTTTCTGTGGTTAACTGAAAAAGTTAAATGAGATAATTATTGTATTTCAGCAAACCTAATTGCCAACAATTTCAACAATTATCAATTTATGTTCCACTAAGGAAGAAAAGGTTACTTAAACTATAATAAGCCACCAGTTTCAAAATATATTCCAGTTATTTTTTTTAAATGTTTCATGAGGAGAATGTGCATTTTAGTATTGCTGAAATGTAGAGCATGAAGAAGAGACAAAGGGCAGATAAGGGGGATACATGATAGCTGTCTGATAATATATGAAGAACTTATTAAGGAGAGAAGCATGTCTTAAAACCAAAAAGTGGAACTTCAGAGATTACTGTTCTAGATTAAGGTGCTGTTCCACTGCACTACCTGCTTCATGAAGTAAGGATTCAGTCAGTAAAACTGTTTCAGCAGAAACTGGGAAACTCAGAATTGTTACTGACATGACTGTTGTTTAGTAAAAGTTGGATTTGATACATTCCAGGCCTCTCTTCAGCTCTTGACAGGTTGATACTCTTGATCTGAAGCTGGGGACTAATGTCAGGGCAAAAAAGTTTACACTTAATTTTGGCAGTTCTGGGGATTGAATTTAGGAGCATTCTACCACTGAACTACATTCCCCATCCCTTTTTATTTTATTTTGAGGCAGGGTTTCACTAAGTTGCCCAGGCTGACCAACTGGTGATATTCCTCTGTCTCAGCCTCCCAAGTAGCTGGGATTCCAAATGTGCACCACTGCACCTGTTTAAAAGTGTATACCTAAAGCACATTTTTTTTTTCTGTGAGTCATGGGTATGATTTACTTAAAATTACTGCCTTATATTTGGAAAGAAATTTAAAAATTAAAAAGCAACTTTAGTCAATTTTAATTTTTCCCCCATTTTTGATATTAGGAACAGGAATATGAAAAAATACTAAATTATGTGTATATGTTCATCAGTTTGGTTCAGTTGCATATTTTAGTTCTATATTCAAAGGAAGCAACAGTTTTTGTTAAATTTTAAGGTAAATATTTAGCCTGAAATGTTCAGTGTATTAGTGTGCAACTTGCTGTTTTCTGCTGTGACAGTGATCATATAAATTAGATTGAGCAATATTTGTATTTTAAAATTTGATCATAAAATGTGGCTTATAAAAGGCTCAATTCGGACTGCAATAACTATAGGAATTCAATCAAAAGTATCTTCTAATTAGATAATTCTCAAGTTAGTGTACTGAGAATTACCTAGGGAAATATATTTGTTTTGTTTTATTTGTTTCTTTTTTCTTTTTCCAGGGCTAAGGACTAAATTGAGTCTTTGCACATGCTAGGCCAGCATCTTGCCACTGAGCTAAATCCCTAACCCCACTGGGGAATATATAAATGTCCTTTTTAGTACCCAGCTTCAAACACTGATTTTCAAATGTCTAGAAAGAGGCCAGAGACATGTAGGCTAGCAAATATCACAGATCATTTCTGAAATTACTGAGCTATCAATCACGATTAAAATTCACTCTGTCTACTATAAAAGTACTAACGAGAATAAAAGCTTAAAAGGTTTTGGTGAAATCTCACCAAGTTAACGTGGGATAATTCCTGTGTTCATTTGCTTTTTTCCTAAAATATCTAGTGTTCAAACAGACCATGTTATTACAGTAGTGTTTATTAGCAGAGCAAGAGGAAAGCTAGATCCATTCTAAAACAAGTGTTTTACCTCAGCTATATTTCTGGGAATATTGTTAGCATCTCTAAGATATCCACTTAGGTTTGTATGCATAGAAATTGCTAATGGCAACTGCAT